ATCTTTGAGGGCTTATCTTAGATTTTCTGAGAAAATTGATAATGGAAGCAGATTAATTATTTTCAATGTGAACTTCCTTTTTTTTTTTAAAGGGAAATCATTTTAAATTCAGGGTTGACTTCCTTTTGAATACATTTGGAATTTTATCTCTTTGATGGTCAGCATTGCACATAGGAACATCTTAGAGGGAGTAAGATGGTAGATTATGTTTGTATTATTCTAATATTTTGTAAAGTTAAATATACTCTATCCCCAGAACAATAGTTACCACTTTTAATCCAGATTGACTGATTGCATTACATTTTTATAGCATATGTTTTGGGATTTTGTTTTCCATATTTTTAGAATATTTAATAGTTAAATAACTTGACAACTTGCCCAGAGACCTATATTTATAGAGTAGAGTAGAAGTATAATTAAAAAATGCCATCAGTTCCTCTTAATTGTAGCTGTGCTCAGAGATTTCTGTCAGTGTACAACTCCCTTATTCAGTCCTCACAGGATCCAATCTTATAATAAGAAATGAAAATGCTTCTTTAAATCAGTGGCAGGTTAGAGCCTGTCTTTGGAAAATACATGAGGGATGAACACGTAACTCAAAGCTTTCTAACAGAATAAAACAGTTTTAATAAGAATGAAATAGAATTTATTTTGTATTTCAGTTGCTATTTATGAGGTTGCTAAACATAATGTTTGCAAGGTAATTTACTTCAGTTAAACACCCTGCTTGTTGGTAATAATTTTAGAGTGGCCTTTTAAGGTATCTTGTCAATATTTTCTTGGATAGTATATTTCTTGTTACAGAATTTGCTGATTTAGATTTGTTTGCTTATACATAAATGTCATTAAGTCTCAGTTCATTAATACTAACCACAGTTTCAGATTCTATAACATTCAAATGAGTTAACTTTCTTAAGTTCCAAAATACGATACTAGTTTCACAGCTGTTGTCTCAGAACAAAATCTGAGTCTCTTTCATGATAGTGGGCTTTTCTTCCTTCCCAGTGGGGCAATTATATCACTCCCCCTCCTATTCAACTTCAGCTAAAACCAGCTCACTATAGTATAGTTTACCAAAAGTACAACCATTACAGTGGCTAACAAAATAAAATACTGTATTCCTATTTTTGTGTATACTGAATTTTACAGTTTGGTTTCTAACTTCCCCCCCCTTTTTTAGATTGAACAGTTTGTCTATGCATCACCTCATGATAATAAATCTTGGGAGATGTTTGATGAGATGATTTCCACCGCTGAAGAGTTCTATCAGTCTCTGGGCATCCCTTATCACATTGTGAATATTGTCTCAGGTACATTTCTCTCAAAATAATTTCTGATCTGGTTCTGGGTTCAGTCCTGTGCTTATGGGGGATGATTCCCTAGAATATATGCACAGTATTTCAGCCTTAACTTCTGATAAAATTAGGCTGAAGTTTTAGTTTTATGACTTTAACTTCTTGTAATATTCAAATATGTAGTTGTATACCCATCTTCATTTCTCAGAGTAATTAATGTAAGAAAATAATCCTAGGCCATTCTAACATTTCCATTGTAATTCCATAACTGTTAGAAGGAATTGAGAGAAGGAATAGCTTTCACTTTCTCCTAATATTGAATGCTGCCTCCTGGTATTACAGGTTCCTTAAATCATGCTGCCAGTAAAAAACTGGATCTGGAAGCATGGTTCCCAGGTTCTGGAGCTTTCCGTGAGCTTGTTTCTTGTTCAAACTGCACTGACTACCAAGCACGTCGGTTACGGATCCGCTATGGCCAGACCAAAAAGATGATGGATAAAGTATGTTCTGTTATAATTCAGGCACTCTGGAAGCATTATATAGCTGTCTGTAATGTTTGTATAGTCAGTAGGGTACTCCTGGAGTTGCTTACATATTTTAGCCTTTATAGAAAATCTGCATTTTTGCCATAACATGTTTTTTCATTCAGCATTTAAGGGTGGCTGCTCCAAATAAAGCCATTTCAAATCCTTGTGGTGGAGATGATCTAGAAAAGCTCAAATAAATTTATGGATGCATGTCCAATTTGAATATTGGCTACTTGCCGTTATGTCATCTAGCTTATTGAAATAATGGAGAACCCTAGAATTGCTAACCTGGAAATTAAAAATGTTACCATTCAATATTATAAAGAGTATAGAAACTGAGGTCTGTTGATTAAAGAAAAATTGGGTTATCATTGGGTTTTGATACTACTATAAAGTTTATTTGTCTCCTTATGGCAACCTTTCTTAGATTACATGCTTGTGTGGGGAAAAAATAAGGCTTTGATTGTGGGCTTTAATGATTAGATGGTTTAAGTTGATAGAAATAATGTGAATTTGGGTTAATTAGTGGTAAGAGATTAATTTTTTTAAATTTGTATTTATATCTGTATTGGAGATAGTCGGAAGTCACCTTCTGTTTCAATTTTCTATCCTCACTATTTTAGTTTTTGTCTTTTTTCTTTTAGCTCTATCCTCTCTCTTTGCTGAACTTTCTGTTTTGTATTTTAATTGTACTTTGTAATATAATATAATATAATAAAGTTCTTATTTAAAAAAAAGATACTACTATAAAGTTTAGAGTGAATGAATGAGCACAAAGAAGTGTGCACAGAGCTTTAACATTTGTAAATAAAATTCTTTGCAGAGTCATTTGCTAGCCAGATATTATTAGTGGCAGTGTTTTCTCTATACTAGTGTTTTACACCTTAAATCCAAATTTAAACTATGAAAATATCATTAAAAAGATAGTGTTAAAAAGATATATTTTCATAGTTTAAATTTGGATTTAAGGTGTAAAATTAAGTCTTAACTATATTTAAGCTAAATCCTGGGGATTTAGTAAGGTTATTAGATCACATTTAGTCTCTGCAAAAATATGTTTGCTTCTTGAGAAATGTATGAAATGTAGCAGATTTTATTTTCGTAGGTGGAATTTGTACATATGCTTAATGCTACCATGTGTGCTACAACACGCACTATATGTGCTATCCTGGAGAATTACCAGACAGAGGAAGGAATCATTATACCAGACAAATTAAAGAACTTCATGCCACCAGGTAATAATGTTCATTCTCCCTCCCTCCCTCCCTTAAGCCTCTGTAATTTTGCTTTTGTTGTCTGAATGCCTAACGTCCTTTAAGATTGAGGTCCCCTTTTGAAAACTCATAATTCTGACAATGTTCCTTTGAAGCATGGAATTATACTCCATGAAACCTGTGTGCCAATCTTCTGCCAAATTGGTACCCTTCAAGTTTATGAGAGTGATCCTTGAGAGTAGTAATCCCAGCATGTCTGATGCCAGCAAGTTATGGGAGGCTGACTTGAACTGTTTCCTTGCTACACCAGACTAAGAAGACCCATTTTTATCCTAGTTTTACTGAACCAGAACATTTTAGAAGTTGTGCTGTGGTCCTTTGAGTGTTAATTTTACAACCAAAGGAATCAGTGACAAACTAGAAGGTGCCCCTGAATGTCTGAGAAGGAAGGGTTCACTTAATGGTTTTCCTCCTTTCAGCTAGTTGTGACACTTGATTGGAAAGAGAAGAGTGAGCTTGGATGCTGCACCTGACCTTATAACATCCAAAATCCAGTGTTATGTAGTACTGTAAAGTACCTGAGATAGTTTTATGTATAATGGTTTGGGTTATATGAAAGGGAAACAATAATCTGACAGAAAGATGCTTGGTGATACCCATTTTGGAATGCTTGGCCATCTATATTTAATGTACTCTTTATCCTCCCTAGGTCTAAAGGAAATGATAAAATTTGTGAAACCTGCACCTATCGATCAAGAATTTTCTAAGAAGCAAAAGAAACAGCATGAAGGAGGCAAAAAGAAATCAGCTGGTGGAGACTGTGCTCTGGAAGGGAAGATGCAAAGCATGGATGTGAACAGTCCCTGACAGAACTTGAGCTGCTCTCAATGAGTTGCACTGTGGAGTTCTTAAAGCTGAGGTGGGTGGGGGGGTTCTTGGGATTAGCTGCTGCTTTTTGTCTCATCTTTCCTATGCCATGAACATGTTACTTTTTCTGTGTCAGCTTTTACCCTCCAGCACAGGAAGATGATACTTCTCACAGTGACTATAAGTGCATTTGCCTGCACTGTGAAAGTAGAAAGCAGTACAGAAGCTGTTGATTTCCCCACCCCCAACCCATTTTAAATTATGTTGATTATTTGTGAGAAGAATTTCTGTCCAAGCCCGGAGTTGCAAATTCAAGCAGAGGGAACAAAACGCTGTATAATGTTCATTTGCTTTAAAAAATCTGCATATTGGAACAAGAGGTAAAGGCAAATATTGAAAGGGGAAATAAATATAGGCACTTGTGTAATTTTACCATCATGATTTTTGAAACGTCATAGGATTTTCTCTGATTTGGAGGGACTCAGTGAATAAAGCAAAGACTTAAGAAAATGGCTCTTTTTTTAGTTAATTTATTATTCCTTACTTCTTGGAAACCCTTTTAAGAATGTAATTCTCATGGTTGCAGAAATCTATGTTGCTTTACTATCAGTTTAATAAGAATTTTTAGTATTATCCTATTGGCAGTGTACTTTCTCATACTATGCATTACAGTATTTCTCTACCAGTGCTATTTATTTATTTAATAAATGTATAGGCCACCCATCTCGTATACATGACTCTCGGTGGCTAACAATTAAAACAGGGTAAAAAACAATAAAAACAAAAATAACATAAAAATAGCAGCTATATCATCTCTGTTAAGTTTTCAATATATCTTAACCTGCATCTTTAATTGATTACAATTTTTCATAAATGTTATAGTCACCTAGCATTCAAATGAAAAACTTAATGGGTAGAATTTGCTACGCTTCAGGAGTCCCCAATCATATAGTGTGATTTGATGGAAAGTTTGCTCTCCTTCTTCCTGCCATTATTTATATTAATTCTTTATAAAAAAGAATGAGAATTATCTTGTAAAGTTCATGCATAACAGTAGATTTTTATTATTTCAGTTGTTATGCTGAGTGTAGAATAAATTAATTGCTAAATGGATTATATTGCAATACAGTAAATTTACTTCAGACAGAATCCTTGACCTATTTTCCTTACAAAACATTCTGACAGCCTTCTTTTTTTTTAAGTCCAACTTGTGGCTCCATTCATGCTGTTACTGAGACTGTCTTACATTTATTTGATGGTCTGAGGGAGAGGGAAGATAGCGCTTGGTTTTAATTTTCTAAGTAGAGCTATCTATGAAATTAGAGGAATGGGAACTTTGTAGGAAACTCATTGTTTATCTCAGGATGAAAAATGGACAAACCTTACACTTTGGATTTCGAGAAAGCTTATTTTTCAATGAATTCAAGAGTTTTGGTAGTTAAGAATGCATGACCAGGTATTATACCTAATGGCATTATATGTAAAGAGATCCTAAAGGTACAACAACAATTTCAGTGAAAGAAACATGAGATGCCTCTTATAAAAGCTGATTTGGTAACAAAAATATATATAGTATAATGAGAGATGGATGGCAAAAATATAAATAAAAAATAGAAAAATGTATCAGTCACCATGGATGACAAGATAAAGTAGAAAAAGCTCAGAATAATCTGCAGCTGATAAGGGAAGATAAGAGCTATAGAAAAAGGTGGAGCAAATTTGGAGGAATGTAATGGTAGAAATGATATTGTGAGTTTAATTGGTGACCAAATGCAGAAGTTGCCTGCAATTTCTCCTGAAAGGGAAAATTTGTGAATATTTAAAACAGCAATTTAGTATCAATAATTTTTAAAAATACGAATACCTTTAAATGAACTCAAGTCCATATGGCAATATTGCATAGCATTCTAAGAATTCCTTGATGTGCAGTACTCTCAGAATTTCACCATTTTTGTAAACAGCATAACGTGAGATGCTCAACAAGTAAAAACAAATAAACTTCCTAATCTTCAAAAGGCTCATAAATCTATTTAATTCACAAATGCCTGATGTCCAAAGATTTTAGGTTATGTATAACTGATTTTAGGTTATGTATAGCTTAGTTGTATAAAAGGTCTGTTTATTGACAAACCATTTTTAAAAAATGATATAACCTGTGGCTGTTTGTCTTCTGCAGATTGGATTAATGGAAGGCACTACATCATGCAGTCCTATGATTCTATCATTGCCCAGTAATAGAATGGAGAAGAACTAGAAGGATTTCCTTTAGGGTCATAATTTACATCACACAACTTTAAGATGTGTGGACTTCCAGAACTCCCCAGCTGGTATTCTGGCTGGGAAGTTCTCAAAGTCCACACATCTTAAAGTTGCCAAGTTTGAAAAAAAAACTGGTTTACATAATGGGTATGTGAATTAACAGAGTTCAAAATACTATAGGGCATTTGCTGCTCCCTTCCTTTTTGGGCTTTCATGTTTTAAAAGAAGAAAAGATGATAAATCTCCAGACTTTTGGGGTAAATTTAGAATTTTGAGAACATGCTATGGGTATACCCTGAGTGTGGCTATGATGGTAGGCATGCCTGGTCACAGGATATCTATTTATCAGAACTACAGATTACGCCCCTCCTTGGCCCCTTCTTTATTACCTGTTGATTCTCCCTATCACCTAAATATTCCTTTGTCTTTTTTTCTGGGCTAGTTTCTAAACAGGGCGCTTGGTTGCAAACATCCATATATTTTTGCTTTCTAAAATTATAAAGAAGGTGCTAGAAGCTGGTGCTGATGCTTTGACTCAACAGCCCAGCAGTTTTCCATTTAGTTTTATTTTAAATAATATTTTAAGACAACTAAATGACCCATAAAATGTCATGGAGTAAAGGCTGGTATCTGTTAGTAGATTGGTGCCTGTAGTGCTTATGAATACTGTGCTGGGGATTCCAGAAAAATCTGTCCAGAATTCAACTATCCAGACTGTCTGGTAAAGCCCTCTTTGGGTGGGCAAGCTGCATTCATTTTGGGGGGAAAAAAGCTTTTTTTAATATATAACTTTATTGAAAGTTTTAAAAATGGGTAAAAATTAATACAAACTAAGGAAAAAAGAAAAAGGAAGAAATAAAAGAGAAAGCTAAAGTGCAAAAAAAAGGGTAGAAGCAAAATAGAAAAGAAAAAAATATAAAGAAGTGGCTTCCAATCTTTACAGCAGTTACAAGTACAATTGTAGATTTACTTCTTACTCTAAAGTTATATCATAAGTATTTTCTTTCTATAATCTATCCTATCTAATCATCAAAACCATAGATTATCAGTTCATTTTTTTCTGTTTTACACAAAAAGTCTATAAGGGGTTTCCAGTCAGCAATAAACATTGATACTGTCTTTTCTCTAATCAAACAGGTCAATTTGGCCATCTCAGCAAGTTCTATCATCTTCCCCAACTATTCTTCTGTTGTAGGTATTGCCAAATCTTTCCATGTTTGTGCATACAATAATCTCACTGCAATTATCATATATAGAAAGAAAGTTCCATGACTTTTTTCCAACAGTTTATTCATCAGTCCCAGAGGAAAAGTTCTGGTTTCACTTGATATTAAACTTTAAAATCCTCTGAATCAGTGTATGCATTTGAACCAAAAGTCTTCTAGCTTTTTTGCACGTCCACCAAGCAAGGTAAAATTATTCTTCTTGTTCACATTTCCAGCATAGATTTGAAGTACAGTGGTACCTCTACTTACGAATGCCCCTACTAATGAATTTTTCGAGAGACGACCAGCTCCGGCCCCAAAAATTTACCTCAACTTACGAACTCGCCTCGACTTACGAACCGGATCCGCGGCCATTTTCCGCCCGTGCCACGTGGTCCGCGGCCATTTTCCGCCCGTGCCACGTGGTCCCCAGCCATTTTTCTGCCCTGCCGCGTGGTCAGCGGCCGTTTTTCCGCCCTGCCGCATGGTCAGTGGCCATTTTTCTGCCCTGCCGCGTGGTCAGCGGCCGTTTTTCCGCCCTGCCGCATGGTCAGTGGCCATTTTTCTGCCCCTGATGCGTGGTCCGCGGACACCGGAACGGATTAACGG